TGTGTCGCGATTCATCTTGGGATACTTCGGTGAACTTTCCCCTAGTGTTGATGCTCTCAATCTTGTGTTTTTACTGATCTGGATGCTTGTGTATGTTAGGATTCACTCTGGGATACTTCGGTGAACTTTCCCCTAGTGTTGATGTTCTCAATCTTGTGTTTTTACTGATTTGGATGCTTGTTTGTACTGCGATTCATCTTGGGATACTTCGGTGAACTTTCCTCTAGTATAGAGGCTCTCAAACTTGTGTTTTTGCTGATTCCAATGCTTGTGAATGTTGCGATTCATCTTGGGATACTTCAAGGAACTTTCTCCTAGTGTTGATGCTCTCAATCTTAAGTTTTGACTTATTCTGAGGCTTGTGCATGTTGCGATTCATCTTGGGATACTTCGGTGAATTGTCCTCTAGTGTAGATGCTTCCAACTTTGTGTTTCGGCTGATCTTGATGCTTGTGTACGTTAGGATTCACTCCGGGATACTTCGGTGAACTCTCCTCTAGGTAGATTACTTCTAGTCTTGTCACTTGGCTGTAAATGGTGCATGTGTGGGTGTGCTGCAGTCCCGGTACCCCAGTTCAGTCCGTCCTCACCCCTTGCTGTAACCGGTGACATGCGGTGTGTGTATGTGAATGTGTTGCAGTCCCGGTAGCCCAGTTATGTTCATCCTCACCCCTTGTTGCAACCGGTGACATGCGGTGTGTGTATGTGAATGTGTCGCAGTTCCGGTAACCCAGTTCAGTCCGTCCTCATCCCTTGCTGTGACCGGTGACATGCGGTGTGTGTATGTGAATGTGTTGCAGTCCCGGTAGTCCAGTTCAGTCCATCCTCACCCCTTGCTGTGACCGGTGACATGCGGTGTGTGTATGTATATGTGTTGCAGTCCTGGTAGCCCAGTTCAGTTCATCCTCACCCCTTGCTGTAACTGGTAACATGCGGTGTGTGTATGTGTATGTGTTGCAGTCCCGGTAGCCCAGTTTAGTCCATCCTCAGCCCTTGCTGTAACCGGTAACATGCGGTGTGTGTGTGTGTATGCGTTGCAGTCCCAGTAGCCCAGTTTAGTCCATCCTCACCCCTTGCTGTAACCAGTAACATGCGGTGTGTGTATGGGTATATGTTGCAGTCCCGGTAGCCCAGTTCAGTCCATCCCTACGCCTTGCGGTAACCGATGACATGCGGTATGTGCAAGTGTGTGTGTTGCAGTCTCGGTAGCCCAGTTCAGTCCTTCCTCACCGTAGCTGTAATCGGTAACATGTGGTATGAGTATGTGTGAGTGTTGCAGTTCCGATGGCACAAATCAGTTCTTCCTCTTTTTTTACGTGACCGGTGCCTTCCAAAAGTTATGTGTCGTGACCGGGCGCCCGGGTAGGAAAGGGGGCACAAGGCTGAGAATTAGATTGCGTCCATCGAGCTTCCGCTGTCGCCACCACTCCTCCAACTTCGACCACCCCAACCATCCTTCTGCCTCCATCACCTACACCCATCCACCATGGCCGACCACCCCAACCCTTCTTCCACCTCCATCACCTACACCCGTCCACCATAGCCGGTCACCCCAACCCTTCTTCTACCTCCATCGCCTACACCCGTCCACCATAGCCGGCCACCCCAACCCTTCTTCTACCTCCATCGCCTACACCCGTCCGCCATAGCCGACCACCCCAACCCTCCTTCTACCTTCATCACCTACCCACATCCACCATAGCCGGCCACCCCAACCCTTCTTCCATCTCCATCGCCTACAACTGTCCGCCATAGCCGACCACCCCAACCCTCCTTCTACCTTCGTCACCTACCCCCATCCACCATAGCCGGCCACCCCAACCCTTCTTCCACCTCCATCACCTACACCCATCCACCATAGCCGACCACCCCAACCCTTCTTCTACCTCCATCGCCTACACCGGTCCGCCATAGCCGACCACCCCAACCCTTCTTCCACCTCCATCACCTACACCCATCCACCATAGCCGACCACCCCAACCCTTCTTCCACCTCCATCACCT